ATTCAGTTTTCTTACAATCCATGTTTGAAATTCTTCTTCTGTCATTTTAGTGTTCTGAGTTTGGTTAATGTCAATTGCTGGGGAGCTGTTGTTCCTCTTTGGGGGTGTGCTTTCCGTTTGAGTCTTCATACTTCCAGAGTTCTTTCGCTGGTTCCTACCCATCTGGATCAGTTGTTCCTTCTTGCCTTTAGATTTTCATTTGGATAATGACACGCCCTGTTTAGTCTCTGAGCCAGTAGGTGGTGTTTGTGGGTGAGATTCGACCACACCCTTTATGATGAATCAGTAGATGCAGTAAAAGGGTGTGCAGGATGACCTCTCTGTCAGTAGGTGGCACTTGCTGGGAGGAGCGAGCTGCATTGCTATTTTTGAGTCCTGTAGCTAGCTCTTGTTCCTCTAGAGAGGCCCACTTGTGCCTTGGGTGGTGGGTGGGGCCCTAGGATTTCCAGGTGTGTCCTTATTCTCCACTTCAGTGGGGGCAGGTCCGGGAGTGAGTCTGGGTGGGGCTGGGTTGGGTAAGCCTGCCCTCAGGCTCCACAACTGCTGTTAGCAGGGGTCAAAGGTCTGTTCTTTGCTTCTATGCAAAGCTGCCGGGAGGGGCTGAAATGGCTCCACTCAGCTAAAAGTCTGGGCTTGGGGGGTGGGATTGTCTGAGATCGGTAGTCTGGAGCAGGTCTCGCTCCCTTCCACCCTCCCCCTCTCCGTGGCCTCTCCCAGGCCTCTGCCAGCAAGCAGGACCTCAGGCCAATGGATCTCCCCTGGCTGTGACGTGAGCTGGGAGGTTCCCTACCCAGGATCGCAGCCTGAGCTGGGTGCACAGCCCTCTTTTGGGAGGAGGGTTGCCGCTCAGGCACGCTGATCTATCCCTGAAGGCACACTCAGTAGGCTCTTTCACAGATCTCCCTCTGTGCCCCGGGGCAGTGCGATCCTGACCTGGGTGTACGGGGTCTGGTCTGCAGGCCTGTCCCCTGGGCCCTGGAGATCAATCCCTGACCCTGCCAGGGGGAGGGGTGCTGGTCTTGAATCACCTACAGGGTACCCAAGCTGGATCTATTTCACTCCACCTCAGGATTTTCCCGCTCTCCTGGAGTCCCCAGGCAAGCAGCACCTGGGAGGGCTGGCGGGCAGGGAGCTCGCAGTCTGAGTACCCCTCAGTCTGCTGTAGGGCCCCAAAGGAAAGGTCCCATTCCTTGGAGATGCCTCCGTGTGATGGCTAACTTGTCTCTCTGGGCACCCACGGGTAGGGAAGGGGAAGGAGAGAATGGAGCACTATGGCATCAACTGATAGGCTCGGGTCTGCATGCGGGGAGGTGCCCCGAGGGAGCTGGGAGCCCGGCACCGTGTCCGCAAGAGGCCACTGCTCACTGGCGGCAGCCGTCTCTGGGCTGGTGTCGGCAGGTCTCTCCAACCGCTCAGGAACCCATCAACAGTCCAAGATGCAAGGGAGGGGAAAGTTATCTGCTCCACCTACCCTTGTCGCTGGTCTACAAGCCTCTCGGGGACCTTTCTCCTTCCAGTTCTGCTCCGCAACATCTTCCCATGGAGTCTCCTGTAGTTTCAGGCACCCTTCCTTCCGACCCTCACTGGATCTATGTTTCTCTGCTAGTTTATTTTTTTCTCTTTCTTCTAAAATTTGTCTTTTTTGCAGAGACACTCTGACTGGCGGCTTTTCCCATCCGCCATCTTGGCTCCTCCTGTAAAGTCCCTTTACACACTGTATCAGAGTTGGTCTGTGGGACCAACAGAAATGGTCTATCACTGGAGATTAGGTTATAAAAGATACTATGGCTTCTCCATCTTGGTCTCTTACTCTTTCTCTCTTGGATTATTTGCTTTGGGGGAAGACAGCTCCAATGCTGAGCACTCCCAATGCTCCTCTCCCAATGGAGAGGCCCACATGGTGAAGAACTGAGGCTTGCCAACAACCACCAAGTGAGCTAAAAAGTAGATTCCCCAGCCCCAGTAGAAACTCAGAAGCCTGCAGCCCTGGCTAACACTTTGACTGCAGCCTTGTGAAAGACCCTATGCCAAAGCTATCCAGTTAAGCTTCTCCTGGATTCCTGAACCACAGAAACTGGGAGAGATAAACGTTTGTTTTAAAGCACTAGGTTTTGGGGTAGTTTGTTACATAGCAACAGATAACTAATACAACTGGGAAAGGATTGTAACAGCCCATTTTTTACAGTAAGAAAATTTGGGTTCAAGTCCAGGTAATGGCACCTACTAAACAATAACCCTGAGCAAAGCATGTAATCTCCTGAGCCTCAGTTTCCTTACTAGTAAAATGAGAAAACTGGGACTATAGTAATATATACTACAAAGTAAATAATAGCACATCCTAAAACTAGAACATAAGTAAATCAAGCTAGAAGCTCTAAACAAAAACAAATCTGAACCCTAAGATACTGAGGTTCAGAGAGCCCATCTAAAATAAGCAGAAGACCAGGTGCAGTGGCTCATGCCTATAATCCTAGCATTCTGGGAAACTGAGGCAGGAGGATTGCTTTGAGCCCAGGAGTTTGATGTTGCAGTGAGCCATGATGATGCCACTGCACTCTAGCCTAGAAAACAGAGAGACTCTGTCTCAAACAAACAAAAAAAAAAATTAAATTAAAAAAACATAAGCAGAAAACTCATCTGTTAAATATTATAAAAAGCAGCTTTTCATGGTCTTTGAATTGAAGTAAATGAGCAGATTTATTTCTAAATACCTAAAAAGTATGGAAAAATGCAAACTGTAACCTACTTACCTAAAAGTAAAATTTTTATCATTATTTCAAACTGAGGAAATCAAGACTATGTAGTCTACAGTCTAAAAAGCTGGAGGTCTACTCTAGAGTAAAATATTTTATACCTCCCTAGATCCCAGGCCTGGCACTGGAATGAGGTACACTGAGTTTGCTGTGCACCAAACTGCTCTCTTGCCCCAAAATACGGAGGTACCAATTCTGCTGTGAGACTCAATTAAGATGCTTTTTAAGGAATAAAGATAATATACATATTTTGGATCACATTAATGTGGCACAGCTGTTCTTGAGTATTAAAGAGAAGAAGAATGCAGAAGTAGCAAAGAAGAAAGAAAACCTAATGCTTAAACTTTATTAAAATATGATGATTTTTCATTGCCTCTAGTTGTCCTCATTATAAAGACTTGTGATGGATAATCAGATCTCCTCAGGAGAAGAATCTCCCAGCCAGGCCACCGGAAACATAATCCTCCTAGCTAACAGGCTTTTAGCTAAGCTGTCAGGACAATGTAGGCTAAGAATGGACCAGAAGCTCTATCTCTCTGACTTATTCCTATCTTCTAACTCCTACTAACCACTTTGATGCTACAGCTCAGAGACAACAAAGTGGTCTACTGGAATCACATATCTTTGGATTACAATATTCCCCTATGATCACTGCTTTAATACAACAGCCCTGCTTTTCATGCAGCATTCCTAAAAGGGATAATGAAGATATGTGCAGAAGCCAAACTATGGTTTGTACCTTTGCCCTCTTCTGAAAGATGTACAAATCCAGGCCATAAAATATTCCGACACTTCTCCACACACAAATATGTTTTTCTTGAAGTATATACAGATCACAAATTTTCTATCACTCAATTCTTTAAAATAGAGTTGCGCACATTAAAGGAACTATGGTACTTACACATAGAGATCCATAGGAAACTCCTTCATCATGTGTGTTACAATAAACTCTACCATCAGGTCTGGAAAGGTAAAAGGAGAAAAATTCAATCAATTACAATGAAATTCATTCCTTGCCTTTGAGTTCGAAAAAAAGCTTATGAGTACACCCTGCACTCATGTTGAATGGCAACCACTAACCACATCTGTATTCACCTGCGCTTAAATTTATTTTATATAAGGCACTTTTTGCAACACTGTTCACCATCTGTCACTTGTAAAGTAACAAAAAAATTAGTTCACTCTCCTATTTCCAAAAAGATACCTTGACCTGTCAATAAATTCAGAAACAAGGAAAATTTCATTGTACAGATATTTCATACCATGGCACTAATGAAAAATGCCAGAGGGAAATCATATTCTGAGACTAGAGCAATGAGACAAGCAGAGATGAAATTAAGGATCACATTTGTGTAACCGGAGACTCAGCTCTAAAGTTGTGTCAGTCTATCTCATCTCTCACTATCACGCTCAGTTTGACAGATATTGACTGAAATGGTCTGTGGGGCTTTGGGTCAATAGAGGTTTATTACATAGTCTTAATTACTGTTTCTAAAATCAAGTAGATTCAGTAACTGAGGCTGAATATCCAAGTGAAATGGGATTAAGAGTTTAGCTAACTCCCCTGAGGAAAATGTAGAATTCTAGGCAGACAAAAATTACCCAAGATACATCCCCCTACCTGACAGCTCTGTCAGCCTCAGCTCAGCTTAATTTACTCAAAGGAAGTTTTATATATCTGAACCTTAAACTCCAAGCCTCCTGGCCAGCTGACACATCAATTTGGATGAAGAAAGGGAGGGAAGAATTTGAAATCTTGATCAGGAGTAAGACATTTCACAAATTTAAATTATACATCAAGTTTAAACATAGCCATTTGTTTCCCTGGAATGATTTTTTTTCTTTGAACAACTGCATCCTTTTATTGAGCACTCTATTCATCGGGGTTGCTTTATTAAACATACGGTTTCTTAGGCCAGGGAAGAAATATAACTAGTAACAACTTCTCTGAGGAAGCAGCACATCAACCAGGATCTACTCCTCATCTTAATCATGAAAACCTATCACTGTCACAGAAAAATGCCCATTTTGATAATACTCACTCACCCAGTACTGCACATACTAAAGGGCGGCAGGGAAGGTTCTTGTCTGCGGCCTTCTTCCTATGTCTCATAGGCTTCACACACAAAAAAAGAAACAAAATTAATAGGTACCTAAACTGATATCCAATGGTTCATCATCATGTTTCTCGTAAAAATAAAATCACTATTACAGAGATGCTACCTTTTCTTTCTTTTTCTAGGGGTGGGGTGGGGTGGGGTAGGGTAGAGTGGGGCAGGGAGGACTTGTGAATGTTTCTCAGGTTTCAACACAGGCCTGTGACAAAAGTACAATTCACAGCAAGACAACATCCCCAAAGGGGACTGGAGCATACTACGTACTACAATGGGAAAGTTGTTGCTTTCACTTTGATTTTATCTATACAAGTGGCATTAGTAACAACAAAAGAGGTACATGGTATATTTCTTGGACAATAAAATAACAGTAAAAAGAAGAAGTGGTGATGGTGGGGGCAGCTATAGAAGGAGCAACAGTAGTTGCAAAAAACAAAAGTTTCAAATCTAAACCTCAATGTGATAGTTTTTAAACATACCTCCAAGCTTTAGGAAATTCCCTGATCCTCCATATTCTATTTGCCCCACCTCTCAGATGAATACATCAAAGATCATACTATATTCTGAAAACAAAAGGCTCAGACCCATCTCCTTGTTGAAATCTACGTTATTCATACATTCCAGTATCACTGTCATGGGTATACGGTTCTAGATCTTTCTATCCTCTCTTAAGTAAGAAACATCTCTACAACGCACAAAAAAATCCCAACAATAGGCACGGGTCTGTTGAACAGCAGTCATGTAAGAGCCCTTTCGCACAACTTTCCATCTGCATTTGTTCTGGTAGAATCAATTTCATTCCAACCCTGCCAACACACAAAAAATTTCCCCTAAGAAAAAACAAGAAGCAAAAGAAACACCTACCATTCTATGTAAGTTTACTCGAAAATTCATGTTGTCATCATGCAAAAAGGCATTGGCATACTGATCCTAATAAAAATATAGAGAAAAAGGAATGAGAGTATACTTAAGAAACTCAGTTTGTAATTTATCACACTTCATATATAAATCCTTGGGCTTTAAGAACTTTCAAGATCAACTGGAAAGCTAACGGGATGAGCCTAGAGCCTTTACATCAAACCATACTTAAGTCATCAGATTTTACTTGGGTATAATTTCCACATATGTCTCTAACTGGTCAAAAATCTCTAAGCAAATTAAAAACAATAAAAATTAAGGCACAGAATACAACTATCATGTACCCATAATAATTAAAAATAAAAAAATTAAAAATTAAGACACAGGGACTTGAGAAAAATGCTGAGAGTAATCTGTTTTCCTATTCCCTCTTCCTTCCCATCTGCTCAGGGAGCTGGCTCTTTTTGTGACAGCTTAAAGGTTTTCACTGGGGCTGTAGGATGCATGTGCAGGCTCCACAAAAGGCTTTAGGAGTAAGAAGAGAGGTCTGTGCTCTGCTGGGAATGGGCTCAGCACAGCAGGAGAAAACTGCTACACAGGCAGTGTGGAAGCAGGCAGTGTCTATCCCTGGCTTTGCTGAAGCCTGATGGAAAATCACAAACTTCTCACCATAGATTGGTAATAAACATCCCTTGGCCCTTTCCCAACACCTTTTCTGAAGATCTGACATGCCAACAGGCTCCAATTACTAGGAACTCTTACAATTTGTGAAAAACAACTCTTTTAAAGATTTTCCTTGAAAGATTTTTGAAAAACAATTACACCAGGTCTGCTGCTAATAAGCAGCTCTTCTACAACAAGCCACCCCAACCTTGTGAAAAGGTCATCTTTCCACAGAGACTATAAAAAGGGAAAGTCTGCGAGAGTTCTTTACTCCATGTGGACCACCTTTACTCTTTTTCTTAAGTGAGAAAAGAGCAGTATAAGGAGGGAGGGTGAAGCTATAAATTTAGCTCTAAACTGACTCAAGTTCTGCCATACCTATATGTCACCACAATGTATGGTGAATTCGAACCTAATTAGTCCAACCAAAAGTGCCTTCTTACAAAGTTGAGGCATTTCTTCTTTTTCCCCTTGGCACTTCTTCTTCACCAAACTGCAACCCACCCAGCTTTACTGAGTTTCCAATTCTCCTCTCTGGCTTTATTCTCTCCCTCTCCACTCCTTTACCCACAGGAAACCTCGGCTCCTTTGGTAAAATTTATTTTATTTTATTTTTTTAGAAATGGGGTTTCGCTATGTTGCCCAGGCTAGAGTGCAGTGGCTATTCACAGGTACAATCAAAGACATTACAGCCTCAAACTCCTGGGTTCAAGAGATCCTCCCGCCTCAGCCTCCTGAGTAGCTGGGACTAAAGGTGTGCTCCTTTTTAATTTTGCTAAATGTAAAAGATCCAATATGAGCAGCTTCAAAGGGGCAGGATTATTTTTTCTAAAGAGAAATAAGTCTCTTGTTTAAAACTCTTAAGAGCCGGAATCTTCCCATTCTCAATGAAAGCAGTTATTATATCACAATCTATTATTAGCTCACCTAGTAAATGCTAACTGAGCCTCTACTACATGCCAGACACTGAGAATACAGTGGTAAAGGAGAAAAAGTTCCTGTTGTCAGAGGTTACACTCTAGTGAGAGGAGACAGACAATACAAAGGAGGAAGATTTTCTCTCCCAAAGCCTCAGGACCCTAAAAGTCAGGAGCTAGAGGGGCACCAAGGCAAGAAAAGATAGTGCTTTGTAAGAGACTGACTAATACCAGAAGGCTAGTAAGACCTACCTCTGCAATACATGTAAGGATAATCAGACAGAGTTTGCCACTGTGAAGCCTGTGTTCATCTGTAAAGAAAAATAATACACCCTTCTCTGTAAATCATCCAGACCATGTTTCAATAAAGAACAAAGATGTATATCATAAAAAGAAACATTCACATTTTCTCTCTCCACAAAATTCATGAATGAAAATTAAGGTACTACTAGAGAAATTCTTGCTTCCATCCTAGGTAAAAGAATTTCCCCAGGTTTTTTTCTTAAATATCCTGGTAGTCTGTTAACAGCTAACCACCTTCCTGAGAGCCACTGAACTCTTATGATGGCCCCTATTGTCATGGCCCAAATTAGGGCCATACCCTTTGTTTCCAGATCAGCTCTTTGCTTCTGAATACTCAGGTCCATTCCCTTTTCCACCCCCTCATCCACTAGCTATACGCACCACCATCTGTACCCACCTACCACAAAGTGTAGGAAGATTTCATGACTGTTCACAGCAAACTGGCAATGAAATCAGAAAGAAATTAACTGGAGACCAGGGTCCAGCCCATGCATCTCCTTGCACTGTGCACATTATGACCTGGAAAGCTGTGAACTCCTGATCATCTTTCTTCCTACCAAGTTATTTACTTTGCACTTACTATGTGGCAGGCACTGTGGTAGGCACTAGAGATATAGCACTGAACTAAACAGACAAAGGTTCTTGGTCTCCCAGAACTCACATTCTAGTCACTACAGAAGAAAGCAACCTCAATAGCAGGGCTCTATACCCACATACAGAAAACCAAGAAAAGCTACTCCATCGCTGCCAATTACCAGAACCATCAAAGCTTATTTACTTTCCAGTAAATTTGTGGGTGAGCAGGTGAAATGAAGGTAAGAAGATGATTATGCCAGCAGATCCAAAGCAGACAAATGGCTCATGATTTTCAAATTAGCTTTAACAGGACCCAGATTGAAGTCCTCTCTGGAGAGAAGACTTCTTAACAGATTAGAGTGCTGTAGAAGTTAGCTTACGGTACTTAACTCTGATATTAACCTGCTTCTTCCTCAAAAATGAAATTAATTAAAACTTGACAACTGGAAGCCATAGTAGGGGTTGTAGTCCAGAAATATATTCATCTCTCCTTAGAGATGGGCAGTACAAAAAGAGTATGATAATGCCTATCTGACACCGCCTATAGTTTACATCAAAGCTCCTAGGCAGCCAGAAGAGCAATGCCCTTGCCTATGCAAAACTAGATTCATAATACTCTTCTACCTTCCCTTGGCCACAGAGTTTCTCTGGCACTGTCCTCCCTTCCCCCAAAAGCTGATAAGCAACTCCCACAGAAAAGCCTGCAACTATCTTATCACTTTAAGAAAGTGTTTCTGATTACAAAAGTAAGACATATTTCATTATAGACAATTTTTTACACTCAAAAAAGCACCACCACCCCCCCACAAAAAAACAAAAACAAAAACTGAGTTTAGTCATACCACCCAGAAGTCTTAACTGTTAAGACTTTGGTAAATAAACCTTAAACCTAATGTGTAATGCATAGATATACATTTATCTTTAATTTTTGCCTAAAATCTATTTTTTTTTTTTTTTTTTTGAGATAGGGTCTTGCTCTGACACCCAGGCTGGAGTGCGATGGCCTGACCATAGCTCACTGCAGCCTCAATTCCTGGGCTCAAGCAATTCTCCCACCTCAGCCTCCCAAGTAGCTAGGACTACAGGTGCACACCACCACACTGGCTAATTTTTCTTATTTTGCTATAGACACAGGGTCTTGCTATATTGCCCAGACTGGCCTCAAACAGTCCTCCTGCCTCAACCTCCCAAAGTGCTGGGATTACAAGCATGAGCCACCACACCCGGCCCTAAAATCTATTTTAAAGGTTGAGCAGATGCTCCTGTAAGGTGACAACACCAAAGAAAGAAGAATCCCGGGGGAAAAAAGGCTTTAAAACTAGAGCCCAAAAAAGGAAATGATAAACACAGAATGGAAGGAACGGAGTGATTGGGGAGGGGACACACAGGTAGCTTCAACAACATGAATAATGTTTTATTCAAGTTGGATGGTTCACATATGTTCATCATTATGCTTTATAACACGCTATTTCTTATACTTATAAACCTTGTAACTCCATATACATATCTATTAAAAGTATCTTTTTATAGGTACCAGACAACAAACATATAAGAAGAAGAGAAAGATATCCTGGGGAGTAAAGAAGAGCCAAGAAAAAGTTGCTTCTATTGCCCCTAAAAACATAATGAGATGCTGCTGTTGGCCAGGGCATTCAGCAGGTCAGAGGCTGAGACAGGAAGAGAGCTGGGCCAATGAAGCCACATAGGAGCCATTTTTGAAATTAACTTTTCATCATACCTACCCTTGCCCTTTGCCATATATAGGCCGCCTATTGGCAAAGACCTAACCCTGCCTGAGTTTAGAGATGATGTCTGAGACTACCTATTCTGCAATTAATTCAGCCCTTAATTTTGCCATCCATTTTATGGATGGCAAGTGACCAGGACAAAGAGGCTTATATAATCATTAAAGCTAAAATGAGTTCCCAGGGTCTCAATTCACTGTGTTATATCAGGCAAAGCTAAAAGTTCATTTTCTGGGTCACATCTATGCAGCTTCTCTCTTCCGTGGTTGCTGTAATATTTCTAGAGAAAGGAAGAGGTTACCCATTTTCATAAAGAAGCAATGGCCTCAGGAAACTCTGATACACAAGAGTCTTGTTATCCTTGCCTGCCAGATCTCACCTGCCAAGTCGTAGAAGTTCAGCCATCTCTACGGCTCCCAATGGACTGGTCTATATTAGGAGTTTGTGACATGGACTACTTGCATATATCTCATCCCTGCATATGGCTCTCTCTCTTGAAAGAGCACACTCACAAGGCTTAAGAAAAGAAAAAGTCTTAAGTTTGCAAGGCAGAAATCTCTAAGAGCTAATGTAATGTCTGAGTGTAACATGGCTTAGACTCTGCCCACCCAGGTTCCCTTTTGCTCTGGCAATTCATCATTTCCCATATTTATCTTTTGGCTTTCCTATCTCTGTCTACCAATGTTTCCTTCTCACTCTAAAAAGCCCTGAATCCTGGTCTTCCCCTCCTTTATAGCTCTATATAGCTCCTGCCTTTCAGCTCCATACTGAAATTCCTAAAAACCTTCAAACCAGAAATCTGATCACCTCATTTGGCAAATAAGAGACTTCTAAAGTATACTTAATGCCTGAAAGAACCTTAAACCACCACACAAGGCATTAGTCTCTCCTCACAGAAAGGTGGCAAAAACCACAGTATTTTAGCAATTTTGCTTCTATGATGCAAACTGGTTATTTTGTTATCTGGAAATCTGAAGTTTGTCCATGGAGCATAATATTAGAACCCAAACTTCAACTATTGAACAGTTAGTTCCCAAAATAGAATTTAGAGATTCTTATAAGGCTTATAAGAAAGAAAATATGCCAAACTGTTAAGAGTGATTAACTATGGAGAATTTAATCACAAAGGATTTTCACTAAGTTAACCATTGTCAGAATGTTTTATTTTGTTTTGTTTTGTTTTTTGAGACAGAGTCTTGCTCTGTCGCCTGGGCTAGAGTGCCGTGGCATCAGCCTAGCTCACAGCAACCTCAAACTCCTGGGCTCAAGCAATCCTCCTGCCTCAGCCTTCCGAGTAGCTGAGACTGCTGTCGCGCACCACCACACCGGGCTAATTTTTTCTCTTTTTAGTAGAGACGGGGTCTCACTCTTGCTCAGGCTAGTCTTGAACTCCTGAGCTCAAGCGATCCTCCCACCTCAGCCTCCCAGAGTGTTAGGATTACAGGCATGAGCCACCACGCCCGGCCTGTCAGAATGTTTTAATTTTTAACAAATAATATCTCAATTACTTTTGTAATTAGGGGGAAAAAATCCTTTAAATGGGAGAAGACCACTGAATTAACCTATAGGTACCAAACAAAATGCTAATAAAAATGTTTATTAAAATCCAAGATGAGGCCAGGTGCATTGGCTCATGCCTGTAATCCCAGCACTTTGGGAGGCTAAGGCAGGAGGACCACTTGAGGCCAGGAGTTCAAGAACAGCCTGGGCAACACAGCAAGACACTGTCTCAAAACAAAAACAAAACAAAACAAAACAAAATGGGAGGAAAAATGCTAGCTCAGTGTAACCATGAAATGACAGGCTTATTTCCAGGGAACCTTAAAATTAGGATATATTCCACTTACATCAGGTACCTAGAGTAGTCTAATTCAGAGACAGAAAGTAGAATGGTGGTGGTCAGGGCTGGAGGGAGTGGAGATTGGGATATTGGTGTTTAATGGGTACAGAGTTCCATTTTGCAAGATGAAAAATTTCTCAAGGTGGGGAGGGTGGTGATGGTTGTACAACAATGTGAATATACTTAATGCCACTGAACTGTACACTTGAAAATGGTTAAGATGGTAAATTTTATGTTATGTATATTTTACCACAATGAAAAAATTAAATAAATAAAAACTGTGAACACTCATATAAATCGAGTATAAAGAAAAAACAGTAAGTAGGGGGAAAAAAACTGGGATATATTCTGGATAGAATTTGCTGAGTTTCTTCCCAACCCTTCTTATTCCTAGGCTGACTACTCCACTACTCTACCACCAACTAAAAGGCCATACTCAAGAAGATTGCTTGAGCCCAGGAGTTCAAGGTTGCAGTGAGCTATGATTGCCCCACTGCACTCCAGCAAGACCCTGTCTCTTAACAGAAAAAAAAAAGGCCATAGCAAAATCATAAACAGAGGAAGAATAAGAAATGAGAAAAATATTTAATTTTTTCCAATACCCAATCCTCTCCCACTTCCACTCTGCATTTCTAGGATGGACACTGACACTTCTGTTTTAAGTGTTAAGGAACACAGTCCCTCTGAATCTCACCTCTTCCTACTGTACTCTTTACAACAGTCCTCTAATTCTCACCACAAACTGATGCTTTCAGTTCTTGTCCTCAAAAGGGAATTCCCTGAAGCGTGCTAATCCCCCTACTTCCCACACATAAGAGTCTGCATCTACTTACCAAGATCTACTGAGAAGATTTGCTAGTTTTTGTAGAGACCAATTTTTTTCCTATTCTATTTTTGAGCACTCCCCTCTACCTTCAGGTTTTCCCACCACCACCTAATTGTCATCTAGCAGTGAGAAATCACTGTTTTCCAGTAATCAAGACCATGCACAGGACCCAGTGGTTCATCTTGTCAAAGCTTCAGAACATTAATGCTGCCCTTAGACTCTAGCTGCCTGTCACATCTCCTACTTCCTGATCCCCCAATGTAGCATGTCTTACCTTTGGTGTCCTGCATGACAATTGAGCTATACTTTAAGAAGGTTATCAGTAGATTACTGGTCTGTACATCTGCATCCAATGGGAGTTCCACAGAACTTATAACTGGAATAGAACAGATAAAATGCACTTAGCCTGTAACATAGTCCATCTAACACTTCTACCCACATAGCCAATTTGCCAGCAGGCAAGAAAATCACTAAATAAGCTCTTTACACAACAGAGGGAGGACCAAGTACTTATAAAACTTCCTTCCTAGGCCTCTAGAGCCCATTCCTCCTCCCAAAATTAAGCCCCATGACCTTCTCTTCCATGTAGGACCAGTCTCTAGGAACAGTGCTTTTCTCTCAACATCCTATGAGGGGTATGGTGATTTCACTTTCAGCCCCAAGTAACCCAAAAGAGTTCAGGGCCCTTCTTAAAAGCACTTTGATTTCTACCTAAAGGAAAGATCTGAATAAAGATGAGCTTTGCTTTGATGAGTCTCCTTCTTAAAATAAATGAAGATTCCTTCCTAATAAGAAGAAATATTGCTCAATTTTGAGAACAAGCCTTTAGGCTGGAAATACACAGGATGGAGGGGGAAAAAGTTAAGGTAGAATTATATTCAAATTCTACCACTTAATCCCTTCCCCCCAAGAAGGGAACCTGAGAATGAATATTAGACTAAAAATGGATGAACATTATTGATTGGGATAGCTGGGAACTGAGTTTTATATACCCAGCTGCTGTTTCCAAGAGAAATTCTCCCCACTACTCTCTTGAGCCAGTCCCAATGAACAACAAAGGACCAGATCAGGGCTGACCCACACAGAACACAGTCTTAATGAAGACTTCCCCAAATTCTAAGACTTTAAATTAGACTTAGATATGCTGTTAAGTGCTTTAACACTAAGACATAATATATAAACAAAACGAGGCTTATGATGGCCCAGACAAGCTAGAGAATCTATAGCTTTCTGCTGCATTTTCAGCCATGAAGACTCAGCTGAGTTTGGGATATTACTCATTATATGTATTCATAACCAAAATGGATCCCTCTGGAGTTATTATCATGTATGCAGAGAACATTTATTAACAATGGTAAACACTTGCATATTATGGACCCATAATACACAGCAAGCACAACAAAAAGCCTTATGAGAAGAAATCAGCATGCCTAAGCCTTGGCTGTTTTCCCACAGTTCGGCCCCCAAGAACTAAAAGGTCTTAATTCATGTTATGGGTTAAAGACCTGAGACTGACATTTCAAATCACAGTCTATTTTGAAGCTCAGAGCCCATAATCATTCCACTGTCCAATACAAAGAGGCATCTAACTGGTAAATGGGACTTTTTTCCCTGCTCACACACAGTAATAACAGGAAAACTATCTTACATAATATGTAGAAATATAGAAGTATATGTATTTTTAGTTTACCAGAAAGTCTTCTCATGCCAAGGGTGGGTTGTCAAATGTCAAGTCTGAGCTGAGAACAAATGTTATAGCTAAACTGCTGGCTTTTAAAAATAATGGCTCCAGTGACATACCTTTAAATATAACCGGGCTACTGAGCACCACTATAATTAACAACCAAAAATTAAAAACAAGGTTATAATACTTAGGACCCCTACAGAAAGGAAATGAGTTCGGAGAGAGGAAAAAGAACAAATAGAACAGAGACAGAATAAAATCCCTCACAAATTAAAATCTTCTTCCTAATGAAGAGTCATTCCTTGATCTTTGGCTTCATAATTCTTCCCAGCGGCTTTTGTCAAGGGAGACAGTCATTTGAAAGTGGGCTGACTTGATCTTCCCACTAGAAAAAATAAAAGCTCACTGGTTGTAGGTAAGTAAGCACAAATCCTGCCATTGCATAATCAAGTGTGTGGGTGGAAGTGTTCACAACGAACAGTTTGAAAGGCAGTTCTCTGAAGCATCCAAACCCCAACATCACATGGAATTCATATATATATATATATATATAAACACACACACACAGCTTTTGATATCCATGGTAACCAGGCAGGCTTCTTCAACTTAAAGAGAAAGTATAGTATTTCCATTGGATTATTCAGTGACCTGAATAAACAGAGACAAGTAGGCAATCCTCACTACTTGCTACTTCTCATTAAGATATTTTAGAATTTAGCTTTCAACTCTAAATGGGTCCAAATTGCTACCATTGACCTGAATATCAATGGCACCTCCCTGTCATGCTCTGTACTGCTTAGACTTCCTTAAAGTGCTACTGCTACAGGTGCTATATGAAAACTTAAGGGAGAGAAAGCAGAACAAAGGTCATTTTACATACAAACAGTAGGGAGGCACAAAGAAAGGATCAAAGTCGAATTTCCTGTACTTCTTTACCCAAAATGAGGTCAACATTTGAGGTATAACATCAAGTATTAACTTAGAATGTTTTTAGGCTAATATATTCCACCAAACACACTCAGCCTACAACAGAACAAACTCAGATAACACAAAGTTTTTTGGGCAAATTTCACAATTTATTTTCAGTTACCTTTTTCTTAGGTTCCAGCCATAAGATTTATAAAGGGGAAACTTTGTTGTTGTTTCTAGGGAGAGAAGTCCTGGATACTCACCAAACTCCCAATTATAATACATTCAAAGCCTGTCATTTCCAACTGGGAGTGGCTGACAGACACATGACAGCGACCAAATCCCAGGTTCATTTTCTCATTCATTTATTCGACAAATATTTACTAAGCAATTACCGTACCAGGCACTATGCTAGGCATATAGCTGTAAACAAAATAGACATGGTCCCTGCCCTGATTACATGTTTTGGTTCTTAATCTCTATTCTCACTAATCTTAGGCAAGCTGCTTCATTTCTCTGGCCTCAATTCCCTCATCTGTCCAATGGTAACATGAGAAAACATTACCATTTTACATTTATTTCAGTACTTTACAGTCACAAGGTGGTATTTTTCATAATATCTCATCTGAGCCTCACAAGTACCCTGTGAGTTTGGCAGGACAGACAGACATTATTGACCTTTGAGGTCCCTTTCAGATCTAGCACTCCATGATTCTATAATCTCTCCCTGAGGAGGACAAGCTGAAGCTACGTAGCCTCTTATACATAAAAAAACACTTGACTATCTTTTCTAAAGTTTTATTTAGGACTTCAGGAGTTCTGAAGGACAGTATTACAGACGAATTAAATTGAAAGATCAACAATTATGTTCTTTTATTTTGAGACAGAGTCTCACTCTGTCACCCGAGCTAGAGTGCAGAGTGCAGAGGCGTCATCTTAGCTCACTGCAACCTCAAACTCTTAGGCTCAAGTGATCCCTCTGCCTCAGTCTCCCAAGTAGCTGGGACCACATGTGTATACTACCACACCTGGCTAATTTTTCTTTTCTTTTTTTTTTTTTTTTTGTAGAGCAGGGTCTTGCTCTTGCTCAGGCTGGTCTCAAACTCCTGGCCTCAAGCAGTCCTCCTGCCTTAGCCTCCCAAAGTGCTAGGATTACAGGCGTGAGCCTCCTTGCCCAGCATGAAAGATCAACAATTAGGTTCTATGTTCAACACAGCTATGCTCATCCTGAAAGTTCATATTAATTAAGAAAACAAAAGAGGTGGTGGGCTCACCATCAGAGGAGGGTGGCGTGGTCCCAAGTGGTGTGGCTGGGGTTGTTGGAGCAGGACTGACAGGAGTTGTCACCAAGCCCATTTCTGGATGACTCTGAAAGAGGACACAGATGAGTAAAAAAACAGAAAATCCAATTCTCCTTTAGTATCCTCTGCTTAATATCCTGCCTGGCCTCATAATTTTTTAAGAGACAGGGTCTCGCTATGTTGCCCAGGCTGGCCTCAAACTCCTGGGCTCAAGCAATCTTCTTGCCTCAGGTTTCCAAGTAGCTGGGACTACAGGCATGTGTCACCATATCCCCGGCATCATAATTAGACAGAAGGTTCACTGAGGAAGGACTCCTTTTGTATTTATTTCCCATGAGTACCTGGATTACTGTTGATGCTTGCTAAACTTTAAGAAGCAGCTTTGTGGTCTAGTTTTCTTTAAGCAACTAGGTTCCCATTATATAAGTTTTTCTGCAGAACCATACAAATAAAAAACTGGGGTAAACAAACACACAGGATTATTCTACCAGAAAAAGTGAGCAACTGCAGTCCTATCCAGATCTGGGAAGGGACAACTCTCATCAGATCAACTTAAAACGCCTCCATAGTCTGTTCTGATGACCACATAATTGACTAATAGATGTAGGTGAGCCAAGGGGATACCAGGTAGTATAAAAAGAGGTATTCAGATGGCAGCCTTCCTATTCCACAACAAATAAGAGTGTGTGGCGTGGACATGCAGAGACATAGGGAGACACCTGGTAGGTACCAAAACAGATAACTCCTCTGTCCCTCACCTTTCTTAGCCATCCCTGCCACATCAGCCCTTGAGAATTAAGCTCAATGGCAGCTGTTTTTAATCCCCTTTCTCTCTTCTGAGGTTTTAGGCTGTCAAAAAAAAAAAAAAAAAAAAACTCCCTTCTCTTCGCCAACAGCTTTGCCAGCCCTTTACCTTCCTCACCTCTTCCTTTAAAATCGGTTATAGAATTTGGAGAGCAGAAAAGGAACAGAACGAAAATAGTGAATAAAGTGTCTATGTTACCAGTCACGAAAACTGATAAGTGGCCTCCAAACCAGACCCCAAACCAGCACGCTGCTTTTTAAGCATAACCTTATTTTTTTGTTAAAACTCAATCAGTAAGAGTAGCGGGGAGGGGGAAATAAAGTAGGGATGGTTAATGGGTACAAAAATATAGTTAGATAATTAGACAGAATGAACAATATTTGACAGCACAACAAAGTGACTATAATCAACAATAAGTTATGGTATGGCCGGGCGCGGTGGCTCACGCCTGTAATCCTAGCTCTCTGGGAGGCCGAGGCGGGCAGATTGTTTGAGCTCAGGAGTT